AGCTCACTTGGTAGCCCAGGCTGGCCTCGAACTCACAGAGATCCACCTGGCTCTGCCTCCCGAGTGCTGGGATTAAAGGCGTGCGCCACCACCGCCCCTCACCAGCCTTTATACTCTTTTCTTTACCATTTCTCATGACTTTACCATTAGGATAAATAGTAGCAAAACTTGGCAGTGAAACTAGTTCTGTCTGAATGAGGAAAAACAAAACATTGCTCACAGACTAACAGGAAAGTCACTGCTACAAAAACTACTATCTAGCAAAAACTACCAACTTTACCATCCGACACAGATGTATTAGTTACTGGTCACAAACTGAGTATCTTATGTAAAAAAACAAAAAGCCAAACAAAACAAAACAATGCTATGGAACCTTGAAGAAATAAAACAGCAAGTAACTAAAGAGTCTTCATTTGAGAAAAGGCTGGAAGGCCATTTCTAGTTTGCTCCCGATTGTAGTACTGAAGGAATGTTACACAGTTGCAGTGGAGATGAACACCTTTAGCTGGTATAGGCTCTAGAGACTACTGCCACTATGGTACTAGACATGAAAATACTCAGTATTATTTACAGTTAACACATGCATTTTAAAGACACACAGCTGCACCACTGACACCAACTCCCTCAAACCACCAGTCCTGCTCTTCATTAGGCCTTCCATGTTAAGAAGTACATATTCAACACGGAAGAGGAACAAAGAATTCTTACAATGGCACTAGCATTAATTTTCTTATCATCTCTGTTGCTGTTTTTCAAATAATATGTTTGATCATATTATACAAATACAGGCTACCAAACATAAAGGCACTAAAATATTGTTACATAGTGCAGATCCATACTTAACAGAAATAATATGCTCCTGTCCCCTACTGGGAATTTACAATCTGCAGTTCAGAAGCACATGAGCTCCATGATAGTTATAAATATGGCCCAACACAAAAGTGTAAATTGTGTTAAAAAGTTGTGATTTTTTTTTCATTTTTAAAAACTCACTGCATGGTACTTGAGCATGAACTTTGCCAATGACAACATTGTGTCACAATGTCAAAAGGATGGACTCACCTCCATGTAGTTCTCTCAGCTATCAAGACTACAATAAGTAATGTAGAACTATTGTAATGAAGGAAATGGGAGTTTAGACCCGAGATTTAAGGTAGACATCAGATTCTGGTATACCAAAGGGTCAAGAATACTATTATATTTCCTGTATTGTAGATCAAGGTTTTGTGGGTTACATGGGAATAGTCATGGTGACTATTTTAAGAAATGTATAGTGAACTGAGGCTGTAGCTGAATGGTACCTGCTTGCTTAGCAAAAGTGCCTCCCCAGTTGTATGAATTTCAAATTGGGCACAAAATAGTGAAAGTTTTAGGTGTGGTGGCGCAAGCCTTCAATTCCTACACTTGGGAGGCAGAAGCAGATGGATCTCTGGGAGTTTGAGGCCAGCACTGTCTATATAGGTTAACATTCTAAGCTAGCCTGGGCTACGTAGTGAGACCCCGTCTTAAAAGAGCAAAACAACAGTTAAATGTAACGGTAAAATCAATATCCTAAGAGTTCTGTCTTAGGACCCCAGGCTTAATCTGCAGCACCTTAAATAATGACAACAACAGAAAGCCTTAACAAAAGTACAGTTTTACAACTTTTTGGAAAAGTAGCAGTCATATTTTAGAAATAACATCTCTATAACTAAAGAGTCTTTGCAATTAGAAGTTTTTATTATCTCAATTCTCTTTGCCTCATAGTAATCTTAAGCTTTTGAAATTCTCTGTGCAATAAATTTTCAGAGGAACTACAGCAAATACACTTACAATTTCACTACATTAAAACTCAATTCCTAAAAATAAACTAGAAACAAAAAGTTGGGGTTATATATTTATTTCCCACTTACGTCAAATTAAATTTAAAATTAAACTGCCAAGTTGAAGTTCCTGGAGGGTATTCTCCTTGCTCATTCATAAATGTCAGTCCTAGCTGAATTATCTTTAACAAGTCTACATTACATCGCAGTAGTTGGTATTGGTAGTCAGCATTGCTCCTGAATTCTCCAATGGGCCTTGCAACAACACCTGGAAACTCGGTGTCCTGTAAAATAATTTTGAGATTCATTATTTACTAAATGGTTATAAACAGACTCCATAAACTCTCAGGATAATTTCTGAGGCAAGTCAGAGAATTCTATTACAATGATATTCTGTATGTCCACACTCAATTATTAGGTATTCTTTAAGTACGAAGAGTATTACTTTTTAGATCCCAAAATTTTATAAACTTAACTACATTTTCTTAGTTTAAATTTGTCAATAAATTATTACCTTGTACAGATAACTCATGATAAACTCAAGCAAATATTTGCTTCATATCCAAGGAAAAGAAAACTTATACAAAGAATGTCAAGATTCCCACTCCCTCTAATAGGCTGTTATTATTTCTGTACTGCAGCTATTCCATATCATCCAAAAAATAATGACAACTAGGAATTTCTGCTGTCTATAAAATAACCCTCCCTGCCCAAACAGAAAGTTTCAGTCCTAATTATGAAAAAGTACACCTTTATTACATAGGTAATGAGTGTCTATGTATAGATATTCCTGTTTTAAGCAAGCATCCTGTTCATTCTCAGAGAAGCACTTTTTTTTTTTTAAACTTGTGATACTAAGAAAATTAAATTATATTTTAGTTTGGCATGAGAATTCAAATTAAGGCCAGTTAAAAACAAAAATGAAATAGCAAGTCAATATTAAACAGCAAAGAAATCAAAACTTCTTGAATTTAGTACAACCACCAGCCAATTATTAGATTCTATAATCATGAAACTAGACGTGAGTGGGGCTGGGAACAGAAGTGGAAGACACTAAAGTACTGCTTTCTAGAGCTAATAATCGAGTGGATCTAGAACACAAAAAGTAGCTGTAACAGATACACAGAGTGCAGTAACAAGGCTGAAAGTAGCTGTGCACTCTAAGCAGACCGAACACCACCTATAAGAATGGAGTTGTTTAACAACCTAGTGCGTTTCTGCAGCTTTAGCAGTGTTTTCCTAAGAGATCTAATTGGGGTTTCCTTTGTTTGAAAAAGATACTCCAGAACTCACTGGCTTCTGAAACCTTATCTGGTACTAGTAGCACGGCCTTGGGCTTGCTTAGAACTAGCTGACATTCTTAAATGGGCTTTAGTGTTCTCCTGTTGAATGTAATCAGTTTCACAAAATTTCAACATCAGACAAGTATACTCTGTAACTATGTCCCAACAAAGACAAAAAAAAATTGTGTAAACCATAAAAATGATTAAGTTTCTCAAGCTAGCTAATGCCCTCTGCAGCCTTGATATCACCCTTGTCTTCTCTGCAGCTAAGACTCAGTAAGAACCCACAGGAATACCAGCCTCCTGAGAGCATCCAATCCACACAAAGCCTGTCTCCTGTAAGCCCTTAAAACCACCTGACACAAGCCCAAACCCTAAAGTATTTCTAAAACTTTTATTCAGATGCTCTTGACTCCTAATCCCTTGTCAATTAATGTAACAAACTCAACCTGTCAAATACAGGCTTGTTTCTGACGGGCTTTGCTGGAGGGACTAAGAAATTTTTTTTCATGATTAAATTAATCCCTTGATATCAATAAAAAGGGTTTAATTCAAGATTTCTTAAATCCCACTTCAGGGCCCGGAGAAAGAGTTCATTTGGTAAAACGCTTGGCATGCAAACCAGAGGACTGGTTTTCAGTCCCTAGAGTCTATGTTTTTAAAAGTGCATGGTCCATGTGCTTGTAATTTAAGTGCTTGGAAAGCAGAGGCAGGTGAATCCCTGGGGCTTCCTGGCCAGACAGCCTCGTTTAATCAGTAAGCCCCAGGCCAGTGAAGTAACGTACACACACACACACCAGGCCAGTGAAATCACACACACACACACACACACACACACACATACACACATGCAAGTACAAAATTCGCACTTCACCCTCACAAAAGGCATTTTAAAGATTTAGTCAGGTCCATACCATAGCAACATAATTATATTTTCGGATAACTTGACGGATTTTCTTCATCTCGTCGTCCAGGTTACAAGCCCAAACTTCACAGATTCTTTGGCTATGATCTACAGTGGCCGCTGGCATAGTGACAGCACAAGGAGTCTAGACGCCGAGCATCAAAATGTTACACTTGATTGAAGATTGGTTTCATAAAAATATTTTACCCTTTATTTGTGTACCTGTTGAAATAAAACGCCTATATTATGAATGTGAATCATTAAATAGGGCTGGTATAAACTTAAGGTTACTTGTTCAAAGTTCATAATTCATAACAAAATCAAGTTTTAGAGAGTTACTTTGCTTAAGGTACACGGTTAATATATAGAGAATAAAGTACCACAACATCGATTTCCCAGTTGAATATAAATTCCACTGATTAAAATCTGCTCCCAGTTCAATTCACTCCACACAAAACTATGATCCATTTCAAGCTTTAAAAAAAACAAACCGAAATTATTAAGATAAAATGTCCCCATAACAAAAGTAGTGCTTGCTTTTATTCTAACAAAACACTTAAAATCTTACTTGATTAAAAAATTCTGCATTACTGGTGTTGGTATTCATTCAAACCAAATCAGAGGAAACATCACAAAAATTTAAAAGTCCTGAGAAAGCGTCAGGCAATCTCAGAAATCAATGTTCACACGGCAGGAGGGAGAAAGAAAGAAAGCAATAAAATATGGGCACCTAAAATTGTCGAATTTCAAACAAACAACAACAACAACAACAAAAAACCCAGACCATTTCTCCTGGCTAGCAAAGCGGGACCTCAGAGGGTTTCTGGTCCATAAACACAAGGTTTACGTTATACAATGGTGAGGTGATAACAAACAGAAGACTTGATTCTTGGGCAAGAAAATACCAAAATGTTAGATGAAAAAGAAAAAAACAACAACAAAGACCCCAAACAAACAAACAAAACCGAGTAAGAGAGGATGGCCTTGTGTCCGTCTTCCACTCGTCAATGGAAGCTGGAGTCATCTCAGCCAGCCAAGGTGATACTGGGCACGCCTTCTTTCTCCCTTCTGGCTGCTAACAGGGGCGCATGCACACCCTACGGAAACGCTGCAATTGAACGCCGCTTCCCTCCACCCCAATCTCTACTGCGGTCTCAGGGAAAGGGACCCCAAAGGCCTTCTCATTACTGAGGTCGCATGTCCTCCGTGGGCTCCCCGCGCAACGTGAAGAAGGCACAGACGCGTTCATGTCAGGGCTAACAACTCTCTCCGCGGGCTCACGGGCCAGGGCGAAGGCGCGGCTGCTGGCGCATCCACCAGAGCCCGATTGGCCCCGCAACCCCGGCGGGCGGCGGAGGACGAGGCCGGGAAGGAGTCCTCCAGTAGGCCGCCGCCCTCCCCTCTCAATTTCCTCCCCCACAACGGAGTCCCAGGTACAAAGCGGCGGCGTCATCACGGCGCGCCGCACTCCTGACAGGCCTCCCCCCCACCTCCCCAAAACCCCGGGACCCGTTACCACCACCACCACCCCCCTCCTTCCCTGTCCGCCAGCTCCGTCCGCCACAGCCGCGCTTCGGCGGGCGCCATCGCGC